TGGCTCGTGGGTTTGAACCGCCATCCTTCTGGTTAGCAGTCAAGCGCCTTAGGCACCACGCTACCAGAGCTTCCTTGTCTTATATAAGAACACTAAAATAAAGTTCCATTGGAAGAATATAAGGAAGAATTAGTGATAAGAACTGAAAATTTAGAACTCGCATACTCCCTTCTTCCATGCTACACATATTTCTCTTCCCTCCAACCACTCTGTATTCCAACTTTTAACTGCATTAATATTCATTGTTTACATCATTTTCAGTATTATTGAGAGCACCATATTATAAAGTACCCTGGTGGCATAGAGGTTAAAGTGATTGGTTGCTAAACAAAAGGTCTGTACTTAGAAACCACCAGCTGCTCCCCAGCAGAAGGATGAAGCAGTCTGCTTCCATAAAGATTTACAGTCTTGGAAGCCTGATGGGGCAGTTCTATTCTGTTCTATATGGTCAGGATGAGTCGGAATCAACTCAACGGCACTGGGTGGGTGCTATATTACATACTTACTATAAAATGTAATTGTATCTTTTCTTTTACAACTTGATTTCCTTGAAATTAAAGATTCTCCATACTTAATTTGAACTACATTCCTAGACAATATTGATAAAAATAAAATTTTAATTTAAAAGTTTAGTATATTTTAGTTGAGAGATTGGCAATCTTTCTTTGTAAAGACCCAGATAATAAATATTCTCAGCTTTGGAGAATATGCCCAAAAAATAAATAAATAAATAAATAGTACTACATATTTTTAATATGTTCTTATCTTTTCATGCATAAAAATATAGCTATGATTTCTTTTTTAAATAGATGTATAATACACACTTTTTTCCAAAATAATTATTAAATTTAATCATTAACAAGTTATAGTCACTTTAGAAAATTTCATTTAAAGACTATACAATAATTTATTTACCCACATATGGTTTTTCCCAAATTTTTAAAATATTCTTAATAATGCTCACTGAGCATCTGTCTACATAATTTTTTATTGATGTCTACAATTGGACATTGCTAATTGCTAAAATCAGAATGTGTTTAAGGCTTTTGATTTACACTACTACTTAACTGTCCTCCAAAATCACTGTCAACTTACATTTGTGCATTCAATGATTTATGTCCTTTTCATTACAGACTTAAAAGCAGCAATATATTTTTCAGCTCTTTTGCAAATTGAGAAGGAAAAAATTTAGCACGTACTTGTTTTAACTTAAAGTTTTCTTATGTTATGTTGTCTATTTACAACTTCTGCACATTTTTTTTATCAAGATGTAACTTGCACTTGTGTGTTTTTTTTATTTGGTTAACCTCGTCATAGATTAAGGATATATATGCCTTGGTGATATCTGTTGCAAGTGTTGTTAAGTTTTAACTCTCATGTAGTCATACCTTTGCTTTGCCTTCTCTTGCACTTGTACTTGTGATGTTAGGTGCCATTGAGCCGTCTCTGACTCATAGGGACTCCACGCACAGAATGAAACACCAGCCAGTCCCACACCAGCTCCACAATCCTTGCTATACTTGAGCCCATCATCGCAGTCACTGTGTCAATCCATCTCATTGAGGGCCTTCCCCTCTTTCATTGACCCTCCACCTTACCAAGCATGACATCCTTCTTCAGGGAATGGTCCCTTCTGACAACATGACCAAAATAGGTGAAACTAAGTCTGGAAGGTTGAGCAATCTACTTCCGTAGTGATACCACCTTGGAAACCCAAGCGGGGGGGGGGGGGCACTATGAGTTGGGGCCTACTCGACGGCACATAACAACAAGAAGTCTGGCTATTCCACTTCCAAGGAGCATTCCAGCTGCATCACCTTTAGACAGATTCGTTAGATCTTTTGGCAGTCCATGGCATTTTCAGCATCTTTGCCAGCTCCACAACTTGAAAGCATCAAATTTTCTTCAGTCTTCCTTATTCATTGTCCAGCTCTCACATGCATATGAAGTGATTGAAAATACCACGGCTTGTGTCAGGCACACCTTAGTCCTCAAGGAGACATCTTTGCTCTTCAACACTTGAAAGAGGTCCTTTGCAGCCAATTTACCCAGTGCTATACATCATCTGATGTTTTGACTGGTGCTTCCATTGGCGTCGATTGTAGAACCAAGCAATATGGATCTCTTCCAATCAGTTGGCCAAGTAGCTGTCTTCCAAATCTCTAGCTGTAGCCAAGTGAGTGCCTCCAGCAGAGCACCCATTTTATGAAACATCTCAATGGGTGTTCCGTCAATTCCTGGAGCCTTGTTCTTTACCACTTCCTTGAGTGCACCTTCGACTTCTTCCTTCAATACCATTGGTTCTTGACCATATGCCACCTCCTGAAATGGATGAAGATCGACAGGTCTTTTGGGTACAGTGACTCTCTGTATTCCTTCCTTCTTCTTTTGATGCTTCCTGAGTCATTCAATATTTTGCACATAGACTTTCAATATTGCAACTCAAGGCTTAAATTTTTTCCTCAGTTCTTTCAGTTTGAGAAATGCCAACTGTGTTCTTCCCTTTTGGATTTCTAACTCCAGGTCTTTGCACATTTCATTACAGTAATTGGCTTTATCTGCTCAAGATGCTCTTTGAAATCTTCTGTTCAGCTCTTTTATTTGGTCATTTATTCCATTTGCTATAGCTACTCTCCGCTCAAGGGCTAGAGTCTCTTCTGATATCCAATTGATCTTTTCTTCCTTTCTTATCTTTTTTATGACTTCTTGCTTTCTTCATGGAGCTCTGGTGGAGTAGTGACTAAGGCATGTGACTGCTAACCAGAAGGCTGGTGGTTCAAACACACCAGCCACTCCTCAGAAGGAAGGTTGGGCAATCTACTTCCATAGTGATATTGTCTCAGAAACACAAGGGAGGGTTTGAGTCGGGTCCAACTCCATGGCAGTGAGTTTGGGGTTTTTTTGGTTTTGCTTTCTTCATGGATAATGTTCTTGATATCATCCCTTAATTCTTCTGGTTGTCAGTCATTGGTGTTCAATTGATCAAATCTACTTTTTAGATGGTCTCTAAATTCAGGAGGGATATATTCAAGGTCATACTTTGGCTCTTGTGGACTTCTTTTAATTATCTTCATCTTCAACTTGAACTTGCATATGAGTAGTTGATGGTCTGTTCCACAATCAGGTCCTGGCCTTGTTTTGGCTGAAGATATTGAGCTTTTCCATCCTCTCTTGCCACAGATATAGTCAATCTTATTCCTGTGTACTCCATCTGGTGAAGTCCATGTGTATAGCCACTGTTTGTGTTGTTGAAAAAAAGTATTGGCAATGAATAAGTCGTTGGTCTCGCAAAATTCTTTCATGACATCTCCAGCATTACGTCTGTCACCAAGGCCAAATTATCCTACTACTGGTGATTTTTCTTTTTTTCGAACTTTTGCATTCCAGTCACCAATGATAATTAACACATCTTGATTGCATGTTCAGTGAATTTCAGACTGCAGAAGTTGATAAAAATCTTCAATTTCCTCATCTTTGGCCTTGGTGGTTGGTGCATAAATTTTAACAATAGGGAGCTCTGGTAGCGTAGTGCCTAAGGCACCTGAGTGCTAACTAGAAGGCTGGTGGTTCAAACCCACCAGCCACTCCTCGGAAAGAAGATGGGGCAATCTACTTCCATAGTGACACTGCCCCGGAAACCCAAGGAGGGGTCACTATGAGTCGGGTCCGACAAGAGGGCACATAACAATAAGTAGTAACTGGTTTTCTTTGTAGGTGTATGAACGTTATCCTATCACTGACAGCACTGTACTTCAGGACAGATCTTGAAACATCCTTTGTGATGATGAATGCCACACCACTCCTCTTCAAACTGCCATTCTCAGCATAGTAGATCATGTGGTTGTCTGATTCAAAATGGCCAAAACAGGTCCATTTCAGCTCACTAATGCCTAGGCTATCAATCTTTATGCATTCTATTTCATTTTTGACAACTTCCAATTTTCCTAGATTCATACTTTGTACATTCCATGTTCTGATTATTAATGGATGTTTGCCAGCTGTTTCTCCTCAATTTCAGTCATGCCACGTCAGCAAATGGAGGTCCTTTGAGCTTTACTTTATCTAAATCATTAAGGCACTCTACTCTGAGGAGGCAGCTCTTCCCCAGTCTTATTTTGATTGCCTTCCAACCTAAGGGGCTCATCTTCCTACACTGTATCAGTGTTTCTCTGCTATTTATAATGTTTTCCCTGGCCAATTCTTTGAGAAGTGGATGGCCTCTCTCTTCTTCCTAGTCTGTCTCAGTATGTAAGCTGTGTTGAAACCTGTGCACCATGTGCTGCTGGTGTTTAAAACACCAGTGGCACAGCCTCAAGCCTCACAGCAACATAGAAGCCACCACATTAGAGCAAACTAACAGACAAGTTTGTCTTCCTTACCTGTTCAAAACCTCTCCGCCCTCCCCTCATCTGGATCCCGTGGCTCTTCCCCCATTTCCTGCCTCTTGAGGTGGGGCCTTGTATCCCTCCCCTTACCTGGATCCCATGGCTTGCACTTAGCACTTGTACTTAGAAAAGCATTGTTTCACCTCAAGGACAATTAAATATTAACCTGTATTTTCTCTCTCTCTCTCTTTCTTTCTTTGGAAAGTGGTGGTATGGTTTTATCAGTAATTATTTTAAGTAACCTAAAAGGGGATGCTTTGTAACACTTTTGTAAAAATATGAGAAAGCAATAAGGGTGAGGACACCTCAAGAATATTAAAAAAAAAAAAAAAAATCACTGCCACTGAGTTGATTCCTACTCATATTGAACCCTCCCCATTGGGTTTCCAAGGCAGTAAATCTTTATGAAAGTAGATTGCCAAGAATCTGAGTCTTAAAATCAACTAACTTTTTAATGTATCTTTTAACTATACATATTTCCACATATATATACTTTCTTTTTTAAATATCTGTACTATTTGGGATATAAGAGAAGCAATGTAATACTTTCAGGTATATATATACTCACAGCTTATTTTCTTTCTTTTTTTTTTTTTTTTTTACGTTTTTACTCACTTGTAGTCATGATGTTAGGAGGGCAGGAGGGTATTCCATGATCTACTGCCCATCTGTAGGCTCCTTCTCCAACTAAAAAGCTAACAACAGAAAATATATTATTTTAAAAAGTAACAGTGTCATCTTCTCCATATATAATAAAAGCAAAATGCTAAGGCAACTGATAAATCTTACACACAAACATAAATCTGAACTTAGCCCAAAATAACAATATGACTACAGGCCTAAAAATTTTATCAAAATTTTGAGAATTATTAAAATTAGAAATACAAGCAGTCCCCAGGTTATGAACATCTGATTTACATACAATCCATAGTATCAGACCAGCCTTCATAAAACCTATTAAAAATTATAGGTACATACAATGGTTCATAACAACAAAAGGGCACTACTTTGTGAGGTTCATCAAAACACTCTTATTATTATTACTGTATTACTGTGTTAAAGATGTTTTAGTGTATCTGGAAGCATTTCTTTAATGTTTTTATGCATAGGAAGATACACTATATACTAAGACAAACATTTGACTGACATTAAATAGGAACCATACCTAATTGTTCCAACTTAAATACAAATTCAACTTAAAGACTGACTTTGGAATGGAACTCTTTCATAATCTGGGGACTGCCTATATTACAAATGAAAATTTTATCACTGGAAATGTTACACTATCATTTCCAATCATTAATAAATAAAATTCAACATAAGAAGAAATTAAAATAGCTGACTTACAAGTTAAAAATATTAAGATTTATCTTGGACCAACACAGTTCTCAGAGCATGTCACAACAGGATCTATCAAACTGGGTTAAGAGTCTAAAGTTAAATATCTTGAGATTTTGTTTCTAGCCTATTTATTACACCGGGATTCAGTCAAATGAATGGAGAAATCAAGAAAAAAAAAATGAAACTAATAGGTGGCCTGATATGTTTGCCCAAAAAACATAAAAAATGTTCTAGGCCTTGATGCAACAAAAATATATACACAACCATCATATTTCTTTTTACTGTGGTATATCTCCAAAGTAATTTTTTGAAACCCTAAACTACAAGTTTTAACATTTAAAAAAGAAGTGAATAAATGGGTACTGTTAGCTAATTCTAGTGGTGCTGCGGTCAAGCCAAGGCATCAGGATGCTCACAAGAGGTCAGTGGTTAGAACCCACTGGTGCTCTGTGGAAGAAAGATAAGGCAGTCTACTTCTGTAAAAATTTACAGCCTTGAAAACCCTATGGGGGGTTGCTATGAGTCGGAATCAACTCAATGGCAATGGGTTTGGGTTTTTTTGGTTAGCTAATTATAAGACATTTTCAAATAACATGCAAGATAATTAACTTCTCCACTCCCTATGTAATTTTACTAAGCAAGGAGTAATCTACCAAGTATTTGCCATAATAATCAATCACCTCATCTCCTTCCATAGCCAACTTTTTAAAGATTTCAGTCACCTACTAATGAGTTCGTTAAATTTAGACCTACTTGTTAGTGACCTACTCCCTATTTTTGTTTCTATTCTTCTAATCATTTCATCACTGAAAATTCAAAGTAATATATATTGAACTCTTAAGATCCAACCATTAATAAATTGATAAGCGAGAGACTGGCAAGAATAAAAATCTAAGTAAAAGTATGGAAATATATAAAACTGGTTCTGAAGAGCAACTGAATTGCTACACGTAATAACGGCATTCTAATAAAAGGTGGGGGTAGTGCATATATTGAGGGGGAAGGGGTAAATGAGAGAAGGACCAAGAGAATAAATAACTTTACCTCTTCAAATCTGTATTATTAAAAAATTCTACAGGGTTTCAAGAATAGAAAACAGTCTATCCTACTCTTGTATCAAACAATGATCACTGAAAAGGAACTGAAGAAAAGGGTTATATACAATTTAAATAGAAGAGTAACTGAAGTAGGAACTGAGATTTCTATTTGATGGCATCATTAGCACTTCCTCCTTATGGAAAAAGAATTGGATATATGAAATTGCTTCTCTTCATGTGAAACTGTAAAAGAGATGCCCAAGCAGTAAATCTAATGGTCAAGACAGACTGTGGAGGTGAATCTAGTATTTTTAGCACCCCCAATGGACATTTTGAGTTCAATGGCAGTATCTGGAATCAGTTTTATTTTTCATTTCCCAATAATTTACAGGTTTGATTCTAAATAAAATCAATTTGCTGTTGTCACCTATGCATGTTTATAAATGCTTTAGCCATTTCAAAATATTCACAGAAAAGTGACTAGTTTGATGTCACTTTATAGATAAGAATGCCAAGTTATGACCTTTTCTTCCCATAAAAAATGAAATATGTAGTTCATCATCACATGAAATCTCATAAATGATTCTGAAATCATTTTAAAGAGCTTTAAATCTACACAAGCTTTCGTGAAAAAGTATAGCAGCATGTAAAAAAAAAAATCACTTTCCACAAAATTAAATGCAGTACCAATTCAAATTTCTGTCACCCTTCCAACTTTCCAAGAAGAAAGGTTTTAGAGAACATTCACCCTAATTCATTAGAAAATGCCACTGACTCTACCTTAAAAGTATATCCAGAATCTGACAACTTTTCACCATTGGTACCACCTTGGTCTGAGCCACCATCATGTGCCAAATGAATTGTTGCAATGGGCTCTAAGGGGTTTCATCACTTCCATGCTTGCCTTGCCCTGTCCCCTACTCCACCTATTCTCAACACATCAGCCACTGAAATACTTATAAAACACAAATTAGATGATCATAACTGTGTTAGGCTGGGTACTCTAGAGAAACAAAACTAGTAAAGCTTTTATATACATATGTTGTTGTTATTTGCCATCGAGTCGGCCCCGAGGCAGTATCACTACGGAAGTAGGAATGCCCAACCTTCCTTCTGAGGAGTTATATACATATAGAGAAAGATAAATTTATCTTTGAAAATGTCTCACAAACTAATAAAATCTGGCAAGTCCCAAGTTCTTAGATCAAACACCAAGCTGGAGGCTTCTGCTGACTCATGCAGTTGCAGGGGCTAACGAGCTCAAGGTTGGCAGGCAGTATACCAGCTATTGACTCCAAATAATGACAAATCCAAGATCTCCAGGCCAAATGGTGGATTGTTCTTTCATGAGCAGTTGTAGGCAGCACAACAGGATCCCGATCCACAGAAGAGTGTCTCTTTTCCCAGAATGTCCAAAATTATAGTGGAAGCAGACCACACCTCTAAGGAAATTCCCTTTCAACAGACTGGCTGCTCAAGATATATACATCCGATCCCATAATGGAAAGAACCCACATCACAATTGCTTATCCCACACAGAATTATGGTCCAGCCAAGTTGACACACAGCTCCAACTATCACAGTCCACTCTGTCAACTTGGCACTTGTACACATCTTCTTAAACATATATAAATAATCTCTAAATAAGAACAATTACAAAGTCATATTTGTGCCTAACATGATACGCTAACACACGTACAACCGAAACACATTAACCTTATTTACATTTCACACTTCTTAACAGAAGGAAACAAAAAATATTTGATGCACACATACAATGAAGAAACATAACAATCACAGTCCTCGTTTCTGCAACTGGTCACATAGTCATAGCTGTTATTCAGAACTACCTTCTTCTACCACCCATTCTGTGTTTCCCTTGCTCTCAGCAAGCACCTCAGCTGGTCGTGATTCTTTGCCTGGTGGGATGACCCAAACCTTCATTCCTGAAGGCTCTGGGGCCATTAGTAGTCAGATCACAATTGGGTTGTTGTAATTTTCCATTGACTTTAATCACAGTGCACTAAGAGACATTCTAAGAATCTGCTGTATTCCAGACATATTCTTCTTTACCCCATCATGTAATGTCAATCCAATTCCCCCTTGGTAATCAGGATCTAGACCAGATCAGTACAGTAACACCCTTCTTTGTCTGTTGATCCAGAGGCATAAGGAAGTCAAAATGACCAGGTGGCATTCTTAACTTCCAGTTCAATGCAATCAGTATTGTATCTCCAGGTGGGAATATTCCTCCCTTTGAGATTAAGATCTCCAGACCCACAGAGCATAGGGTAGCAGGGACAGGAAGCAAAAATTTTTTGAGTGGGTCACTATGGATAATAGTGAATGATACCACTCCCATTTCCACCTCTTGGTTCCTGGACCAGTGAATCCTGGCTATTGGAGAAATAGCACCGTATATTGGTTTAGCTCATATACAGCCTCCTGGAGAACACTGCCCCAACCCATCAAGGTACTTCCGCCTAGCTGGTGCCATAACTGTGTTTTCAGTAATCCATTCCATCGTTCTATCAAGCCAGCTGCTTCAGGATGATGGGGAACATGGTAAGACCAGTGAATTCCATGAGCATAGGCCCACTGCCGCGCTTCATCTGCTGTGAAGTGAGTCCCCTTGATCTGAAGCAATAACGAGTGGGATACCATGAAAATGGATAAAGCATTCTGTAAGTCCACAAATGGTACTTTCAGCAGAAGCACTGACTGCAGGGAAGGAGAGTCCATATCCAGAATAAGTAACTATTCCAGTAAGAACAAAATACTATCCTTTCAGGGGGACAAGGTTTGCTGGTCCGATACAGCCTGGTGGAACTGCTGAGATTATGGGCCCCTAGCTGCACTTCAGGTCCAGAATTATACCCACACCTGTGGTTTCCAGCCAAACAAAAGACAGGCATATGAGTTGAACATTTATCTAAGGTAGATACACTCCTTGGAGAGAACAATCATGGGAGAAAGAAAGGCTGCTTATGCACAGGGAGAAAGCTCAGGGGGCAGGAGTGCATGGAGGGATGGACACAAGGAAGAGGTAACTATGGGCAGGAAGTGGAAGGGGAGCTATTGCACTGTGGTAAATTGTGGTCAATGTCACGAGACAAAGTGTATGTGAACTGCTGTATGGAAAGTGAGTTTGCTCTGTTAATCTTCACCCAAATCATAACTAAAAAAAAAAAAAAAAAACTATCCTTTCCATGATGGAAGTGGTCCAATGTAATCAACCTGCCACCAGGCTGCTGGCTAATCACCCGGAGGAATGATTCCATATCGCGGACTCAGTGTTGTTCTCTGATGCTGGCAGA